ATGATATATTCTAATATGCATAATTTCCTTATACCAATATGTAGTCAATTATCCTCTAATTACATATGATTCTTTCCTTTCAGGCTCTCCACTAATTAAACCACCAAATATTTCTTTCGTTTTATGTGTATTAGCTTAATTTCGAGTTACGCCAAACTTCAAATTCACACTTCGAGCGTTACAGGGCTCCAAGAAGAATATACAAATAACATGAACATGAACAATATATTTCTGTGTCTGGTTCCTCATAATACATATACAATGGACCTATAAAAAAAAATACAATGGACCTATTCATACTATATTACTAAGACCTATAATAAATAGGCTACTAAAATTATATTCTAACTATACAAGTTAATGATATATTCTAATATACATATATAATTTTCTTATACTAATATTTAATCAATTATCCTCTAATTACATATAATTCATTCTTTTCAGGTTCTCCACTAATTAAACCACCAATTATTTCTTTTCTTTTATGCTAATCACCATTGATGAACATGCCTCTTTAGTACACAATGATGAAGTGCGTTTATTAGTTTATATGTATAAACAAGATGTCATGGGTATCAAACCTCACCTTTGTATGCTTTATTATTGTATCAAAAATATAATATAAACCCTAAGGTTGTTAGTTACAATTTTCTTTAATGAAGAAAAGTTCCTTTTTATAATATTTACTTATTTTAAATACTTTGCTTTTGTCACAATATAGAAAAAAAAAATGAAAAGATTGCCGCATTAATCTAGTAGATGAAAACATGTATTTAAAGGCTTGTTTCCAACAATAGTCCTACCACAAATGTTCTGGATCTAAGGTCGAGTTGGGTTTCTAGTGTACAAAAGTGTATAATTTAGTATTGAGTTTTGAAATTAGTCACGAGAATCTCGAAAGCCAATTCATGAGACCCTGGATATAATTCAACAAATTTCAGAAACTTGAGTTATAAAATAATAATAATAATAATAAAAGGATGAGGTAATAAAGTATAGTTGATTAGTAAGGGGTAGGCTATGGAGGCTCCAATATAATTCGTAGTGAGTGTAAAGGAATCTCCAGCACATTTTGTCAAATTTCTAACAACCTTTCCAATGCGAACATATTCTTCCCACAATATGTACCAAAACAATGTATTATTTGGTTGTTGGCATTTCATGCTTCCAAGTATGAAACAATATTATATTTCGTTATATTATGGTTGAATAGTAATTTTTATAGCAGCTTCAATTCAAAACACACACACACACACACACACACATATATATATATATATATATATATATATATATATATATATATATATATATATATATATATATATATAATGTTCCTCAAGTTTTTAACTATGGCATTGCAATTTTGAATTTTAATCCTTAAGTTATGACTAAATAAAATTTTTAGTCTCTAGTATGATTGTTCAGTGCAAGCGGACTAAAATCACAACATTCTTAAACAACATAGTATTTGTCAATAAATATTTACACAATTTTGTCAGTTGACATATTTTATTGCACAAAGGCAGCATAAACTAACAAATCAAATTATTAACACATGCTAAAAAAAAATAAAAAAGTATCGATAACTCTACCTCAAATTAAACTCTCAAAACCTAAAAAGGTACGATCGGTACAAAAAAATATTGAATATATCACGAAATATATTGAAAATAAGATGCAACATTCAAAAGATTAAAGCAAAGTATATATAATAGGGCTTTGGTAGAAGATGTTGGAGTATGAAATTTGTGCTTCATTTAGGAGTATAGTGAGTATTATATATATTATGGACAAGAAAGAGTGATGGTAATTGGCAAACCATATTACTTGTTGCGAAGATATTCAACCATTCGTTCTCTAAAAATTAAAATAAAATTATAGAAAAAAATCTTATTTATTTATTTATTAAGCAGAGAAACTTAGCAAGTTGGGGAAAGTGTTGTCTCCCTCAAATAGAGTTGGGGTAACCTCATCCAAGTTAATCGAATAATTGATTTACTAATCACAAAATTTTAGTTCAATTCACTATTAAATTGATCTATTAATTTTTTTTATTTGAGTTGAATGGTCAACAATAAACAATCTAAGCTGATTTATCTAGCCACTACAAAAGCTTTTGTCAGTTGGGGATATCAATTTTCTGGCCTTGCATGCTAAATGCAATTTCGTCAAGTTATTGTTTTCGTCTCATAGGAGCTGAGCATGATAGACACTGCACAACTCATATATATATACACACACACACAATTTCTTGATTCAATATATAATTCAAGAAATATCGCTATGTAATGAGAATTACTTGGCACCAATGCAACAATATATATCCTCTAAATTTGTGTGTGTGTGTATATATATATATATATATATATATATATATATATATATATATAATCTTATTTATTTATTTATTATGCAGAGAAACTTAGCAAGTTGGGGAAAGTAGTGTTGTCTCCCTCAAATAGAGCTGAGACGCATTATATTTATTATTTGGAGCAACCTCATCTAATTAAGTTGGGCGGACAATTAATTTGGTAATTACAAGGTTTTAAATTTAACTTCTAATGAGAGTTGTCCATTGACTTTCTTGATTTAAACCGGTCACCAATGAACAACCTATACTGATTTACCAAGCAACTATACACACACACTCATAAATACATATACATATATAATGATTAACCAGAACAAGGATTAATAATTGATGATAATATACACCCCGACCGGGATACGCTAAACCCCATACTGGTAACGGACCGTATCCGATGAACTACTGGTCTGGGGGCCAAGGCCCTACGAACTTCCCGGTTGTCCGGCACTAGCAGGATACTCGCCTTGACATTACATTACATCTATCATATTCCTTACGTCGTGACACTTGGCACCACCTCCCTGGCTCCTTGACTGCCCAACCTACGTATCCTACGCGGAAGGCATGTTGGATAAGCGGCATGTATTCCCCTCGTCGCCTATAAAAGGCACATTTAATACTGAGAGATGTATCTTTTGCTAATCCACCTACTTGAGACCCAGTCGGACGTTCAAGCCAAGATCTCAATCGAGTTGAGCGGGAATTAAGCACATCAATAATAATGGCAGAAACAAAATCTACATGATTTGACAATGTGTCTATGTCCACGGGAGTAAAATAGTTCTTTTATTAATTATGATGATAAAACATGAAGGGTTACAAGCCATATTTAATGGTCATAACTTTGATGACTGTAAAGTTTGTTGATCCATGACTTTGTCTTGTCCCTCATTTATACTTATTCATAAAATTTAATGTTCCATACGAGAGTGAAGGTTGAAGAATAATTACTCGAAATTAAACCGTATACCATTGCTCCATAAAAATGTATCTCATATATTAAAAAAAAAAGTTAAAACTTGATTCTTATTTTAGAGTCTTTCTTCAATCGATAGGATAGAATTTATGAATAGAAATATTAATGTAGTAAATAATTCAACACCCAATGGTTGGCTCAAGGATCACATCCTAATTAATCACTTATCAGGCATACATTAAAGTGGATTGGGTGAGTAACAAGGCGAAGCAATGTTAAGATTGGCTACCTTAACAGTTAACACCCAATGCATTTACCTTACAATTAATAATGACATCCTAATTAATCAGGCATACATTAAAGTAGATTGGGTGAGTAACAAGGCGAAGCAATGTTAAGATTGGCTACCTTAACACCCAATGCATTTACCTTACAATTAATAATGACATGCGGACTTATTTTTCCTAGAACGAGGACAACACATATGTTGTAAGGATTTGGGAGACATCATATCTACACACTAGACAGCCTATGCTAATGCAACCCCAAATTATGGAATTGAGGAAATACCCCCCCTCAAGCCGCGTGCATTAACGTTGCAAAATTAAATACCCTAGAAAAAAACAAAATTAGAGATTATCATAAAACACATTTATAACAATAGATCGATTAATCTCCCAATGTATCTATATAACATTTTCACTTTATACCTAAAAAATAAATTTCAGTAACAATAAAATTTCAACTTAACTAGATTGGGAATGTACACCAACCTAACTCCTAAAAAAACGCATTTATATAATTAACGTGATATGTCATAATCACCAATTTTGAAACAAACTTATGAACCTATCACATCAAAATTACCAATTCAAACGCGTGATAATTTGACTTGAATGCTTTTTATTTTAATCCACTTCATACTAGTGCTTCAAGAAACGGGAAACGCGTGTGGCATGGAAAGAATAGTGTGATTTGACGGGTGAAAATTAAACAAAACATAACTTATCCGCATATAAAATGAGAAATGACGTTCATTTAAACATGACATAAGTTGAATATACTGTCTTTACGTAAGCGTAACTCTTTTTTCCGCTTTTAGTTGGGGAAATGAAATTTCTCAAAACATTAACCACACTCCAACTCTCATCTAATAACTCCCTTACCACTTAGCAGACCAATCCCACAAACTCCAAACTACTACCCCTCTTCCACCGTCCAATACTTCTCCCCACAAATTAAACTTTCCTTGTTCAACATAAATTTGCAGTAATCCCCACACGCAAACCTACATTACATATATAGGATAAGAGGTAAAGATAAAAGTAAAAGGAGAAATTTACAGCTGTATAGGGTGATTTTATTAAAATTGGGAGAGACAAGAAGTAGAATAAACGGCGTTAATGAACAACAACGTAGGTAATAGAGAAGTGCATAGTTTTAGGTATTTGGGTTGTCGTGTAAGAATGCGTTAAAGATGAGAGGAGAGGAAAAAAGAAAAGGTAAAGAGGCTTTTTGGCAGGGGAACAATGTGAGCTGCGGCTTGGGCTTATACTTTAGTTAAAGATGCGTCAAAGCAAAGGAGTTTGAGTCTGTTTTACGCTAAATACCCCTCCTGTCCTTATTCCATCACCCCCCTACCCCTTCTTATTCAACTTCAACCCCCCTCCCTCCCTCATTATTTTCTACTACTCCCTATAAATAAAAGTGTCCATACTTTTCTTTCCCTGTCTCACCAATACCCACCTTTCTTTCCTCCATTCTGCTTTCATTTTCTTTGAAATTTGGGGATATGGAGAAGATGAGTTTTGTGAAGAATGGAGTTTTGAGGTTACCTCCGGGGTTTAGGTTCCACCCCACGGATGAAGAGCTAGTGGTTCAGTACCTGAAGAGGAAGGTTTTCAGCTGCCCTTTGCCGGCTTCCATCATCCCTGACTTTGACGTCTGCAAGTCTGATCCTTGGGATTTGCCAGGTTAGTCCTCCTGCTCCTAGTCCATCCTGCACCCATAAACAAAAACAAAAAAATGTGAAAAGAGATAGATTATGTTGTTGAATGTGCAGGTGATTGGGAGCAAGAAAGGTATTTCTTTAGCACCAGAGAGGTGAAGTATCCCAACGGGAATAGGTCCAGCAGAGCTACTGGGTCTGGGTATTGGAAGGCTACTGGGATTGACAAGCAGATTGCGAGTTGCAGAGGGCGGCAGCTTGTTGGGATGAAGAAGACACTTGTTTTTTACAAAGGGAAAGCCCCCCATGGCTCCAGAACTGATTGGATCATGCACGAGTATCGTCTCGCCAATGCCCCAACCTCCCTGCAACCTCCCAACAACAACAACAACAACAACGTAAAAACAACAACACTTAATTCCTTCTCTACAACATTTAAGTGTTTGTTGACACACTTGTTTTCCAATTTTCTGCAGGAGAACTGGGTGCTCTGCCGGATATTTTTGAAGAAGAGGACGGCCAAGAAGGAAGACGAGACAACAGAGATGAACAGAGGTGCAAGTTTAGGGAATGGTACTAAACCAGTTTTCTACGATTTCTTGGCGAGAGAGAGGGCGGATTTGAATCTAGCTCCGGCTTCATCATCATCAGGGTCTAGTGGGGTTACAGTGCTTTCATCAAACCATCAAACATCGGATGATCATGAAGAGAGTAGCAGCTGCAGTAGTTTCACCACTTTAAGGAGAAAACCTTAAACTAGCAGTCACTCTTTTTTTTTTTTTTTTTTTTTCCAGTCAGTCAAGTACTAATTTAGACTTTCCCCCAGTCCCCACCCCACCCCGCCGGAATAACCCAGTTCAGAGACGTAGTAGTTATTGGCCACTCAATTTCAATCTCTTGCCTGCCTGCCACTATCATCAAATCCAGAATGGAACACCAGCAAAACAAAAAATATGTAAACAGGGAAAGAAAGAAAGAGAGACAAAAATGGGGTTCAGACTTGCAATCAATGTTGTACAAAGATAATGTTAGAACAAGTTACTTTGTACTTGGCCAAATCAAACATTTTCTTCTCACTTGATGTTTTCTTTTTGATTTCTTCACACCAGTCACTAGGTATGCACATGCTTGCTTCCTACATTAACTTTCTCTAAAAGAGAATCCCTTTTTAGGAGCACAAGAATAAGAACATGATCTTTGCAAGATAGATCCTCCTCTGCTTTGGAATCTTCAAAACCCAATTTTACCCTCAAGAATCCAGTTCCCTCATACCCATTCTTTCTCTGTCCCCACCTATTCTTTCTCTGTCCCCACCTATATGTACTGCCTCTGCCCTTACCTCACCCCTCAACCAATTTCTTACATTCACTCTTGCTGCAAAACAAATTTCTTGACACACATAACTGAAGCATTATTCAAGTCACAAGACTAGTAGGTGAACTGTACTCCATATAAGTCATATGCGTCGTCTTATTTATTGACTACTACGAGTTAATCTGATCATAAACACTAAAATTAGTTCACGTCTCAATTTCATGTATTAAAGCTATGTCAATCGGGACAAAATTCAAGAAAACATTGCCTGTTTTCAAGACTTTAGGATGGTTATATCACCCGCCAAGTACCTGATGGTATAACTGTTATCATTTCAAACGGAAGGTCACATATTCGAGTCTCATCTCAATCAAGGATGTTGTAGTAAAAAAAAAAAATAAAGGATGGTTATATCACCTAATTGGGCAAGGGTATAAGAAAAACTCCAACCTCACAAGTCACACTTTTCAACAAAGTCCATATAAAAGATTCCTTGTATTATACAACAAGGAATTAGACCTTCTCCACCACCCTTGCACACATACCTATGAATTCACAATACATCATATGGGTATAAAATATCCTAATAATTTGTTGGGAGGCCTACAACTCATTAGCAAACCAAACACAGATTCTCCCAACCACTTTGCAGCTTTGACTTGGCTAAGAAACCCGCAATAACATCCTTAAAAAAACGTTTCTATAGAGCCTAAGAAATGTTTTAAAATGATGCATGTGCCGTGGAGGCATCAAACAAGCTCAACACTATTCATGGCACCTGTCCCTTGACTCACCCATGACCCATCATAATACATACAGGGTAGGGCATTCACATTTACCCAACATATATATTATAACAGTGAAATAAATAATAAATAAATAAATATCACTTACTATTGTGGAGTACAGAGTAGAAATTTAAAAGAAAAGGCAACCGAACGAACATATATACGTCAGGCCACTGAAGGCTGAAGGTGAATTATATACATTTTATATACGCAGTAGCATGAAGCAGAAGTAATTAAAAACAATGAGGTTTTGATGGTTACCTAATAAACTTGATAATAACCTGGGATTAGACAGGGTTAATAAGTGGGGCTTAAACATCTGCAGATGCGACAAGTGTAAGTTAGGCAGATTAAGGGCGGCATTTAGTAAAAACATTATTAAACCTTTGATATTAACATGATAGAAAGAAAGAAACAAACACACGCAGAGAAAAAAAAAGGTATATATAATAACTCTCAAGGAAAATTGTAGAATAAAAATTGCCGACCAGAGTTGGTTTGTTGAATTATCTAAGCTATGATTTGGGAGTCCTTCACGTCACCAAAGCCACAATAATATCTCATTTTCATGGCAGCAAGGTTATGTGGGGAGTGGGGACTTGTCTTTCCAAGACAAGGTTGCCATGGGGTAGATTTATGATATATATCACAGAGGAAAATATTACTCCCCAGATAAAATTTCACCTGTTACAATCTAATATGACACGACATGATTAGAACATCAACTGTTAAGGGGATTTCAGTGGCTCAATAATACAGGCAATGAATATGAAAGACATAACAACAGTTAATATGCATTGACCAGATAAGGCTATTTCTAGTGCTGATAGCTACTTGTGTTGTAGGTCTTGTACAAGGGAGAATGGGGTGCTGGAAAGAAAACAACAACAATAATAATTCAGTAATTGATGTGGAATAAAATGGGGGGGTTTTGGACAAAAAACTAGGATCCCTTGGGTTGCTTAGTATCTCTGCAACAAGGACATGTTAAATCTCTTCAACCGTCCTTTTAATGAACTCTTATCTGACTTGATAGAAACAACAGAGAAAGTGAGAAACATTATTAGGCCCCTGATTTAGAACCAAAAGACTCCTCCCTCACACACCCCTCTCTCTCTCAACATATTAATTTGGTGTATGCATCATCAAAGTATGTATGGCAAGGTTAGCAAGATCTGACACAAATTAAAAGTGGGCAGAAAGAGATATGTGTGTTCAACTTTTCTTCTATGCTCTTGTGCTGTTGCCTATGCTAGAGGGAGGAAGGGAGTTGCATTTGGCAGCCCAAAACCAATCACTTGTCTGCATCAATGTATCATCTGACAAGCTTATCAAGACCAGACCAGACCAGACCAACTTTACATTCTCTTTTGGGGAATGGGGGATGACCCTTGAATTCTTGGAAAGTCCATTTCTTTCCTCACTCTTCTTCCCAGCTGTCATAATATTACAAACCAGAAAGATAAGGATAATATCATGCAGGAATAAAAAGAAAAGAAAAAACAGTAGTTTTAAAACAGAACAATAATATATGGAGTAATTTTTTTTTTTTTTTTTTTTTTGTTAATGCTCAAGACTTTTACCATGATCTTAGGGTGTAGCCTATGTAAGAAGTTGTCCCATAAAAGGAAGCATAAGATTGCTGACCTCATCCGCAGATTTGGCTCACGGGGCCACAACAAGCTGATGCATGATCCGTGTGTCCACAACAATGAAACATGCAGTGAGTGGAGAAAGAAAGTAAAAGAAGATAAAAACCAGATGAGATGGGTGGCTGAAGAATCTTTGAAAGGTTCGTAGTGGTGTTACACAAAAGGTTACACAACCCTCAATTCTAACTTCCTCAACGTCAAAATCAATCTTCTGTATCAAAAGGTGACTTGAGGAATTTCCAGCTTTCGGCGGTTTCCACAACTATTAAGCCACAAGAGTTGATATTCTTTCTCATAAATGGAGATGGACCACATCATCCATTTGCCACATCTAACATCATCCTGCACATTGTTGGAGATTTATAAGCTATACGCAACTCAATAATTCATACATATTATGTTTTAGTACACATAAATTATTTGGTGCTGATGAGTGATACATAATTCACATACACAAAAAGGTATTGGAAGGAGTGTTGTAACACTTGTTGTGTCAAAAGGCATCATGAGGGTTGCATGAGGATTGAGGGGCATGGGTACTGAAAGGCACCCACACATTACCCAAAGAATACTCCTAGATAAGCCTACACCCTTGTGATTAACTTAGAAAAGCAACCTAAATTAATTGTTTCTTCTTTTTATTCCAAAATTTCTATCTTGCAACTCTTCCTAGTTGCTTGTGTATGTAAAATATAGATAATAAATTTGTAGGAAAGCATGAAAAGTCACATTTAATTTCAAGAAGATATATCTGGTCTTCTTCTTGTAATCCTTGTTAAACTTGTTTCAATACACATCATTTCAACACACATGACTTTAACTGTTAGTGTAAGCATGCATGCGCAACACACCTAGGCCTAATTTCAACATCAAATTCAACCCAAGGGGCCAGCTTTGTATTTCTAAGAGCTATCTAGGATATGACATAGAAATTAGCTTTAATAGCAGTTACATAAGTCAAGCATAAAAAAGTGCAAGCTGTAAACCAAAGAAAGTTGATGGAAAATCAGTCTCCCAGCAGGGAAACTGATATGTGACTTCAGTTTTTTACAGTTCCTAAAAAAATCAATGTGTATCAAGGATGAAGTCCCCAAGTTTCATTCATACAGGAATATTTTATCAAGAAACAGAAAAAAGGATATGCTCTCAATTACTAATGATAGCAGGATTTTGGTAGCTACTAATCAAAAGCCTCAGTAAATATGGTAAGATGGATGAGTTTGGATGATGAACATTCTGTTAACAAATAGTTTCAGCTACTTCAAAGCCAAAGAAAGAGAAATACAAACCATAATTAGGTGATTAGAATTATTATTGTGCGAGAAAACAAGGGTCATAATCCATTCACTATTACAATATACTTGTATGTCTGTGGGAACTATAGCTTAGGTGGTCCAGTTTATGTTGTCTTCTCTTACACAATTGAAAGTTTTTCTAATAAAATGGTAATTCAAAAAAATCTAGAGTGCAACAAATTAAATGACTCCTACCCAAAAGATGCAACCAATAGATGCAAATAGCAAGTATGATGCTAACTGAATTTTTATTAACCCATTGGAGATTGAAACAGAAAATAATATTCTTAATTTAATCTTGATTACTATGCAATCAACTTTGGATTCCTAAACATCACAAATTCACAATCATACACGATCGAATGTGCATCAGCTGCCACAGAAGTTTAAAATAGATAACATAAATAGTGATGCATGCAGGTAATTTCAACAGATTGTGACAAAATGTAACATCAACATCAGTGAGTAGGAAATTCTAGCCAAGGGCAATAATGTAGCTGCAGGACATAAAGATAACCTTGAAGCAGGTAGACCGGATAGATTATTTTATCCCTGGTTTACATCTTCCATTTTGTCGGCTAACCCTGGCAGTTTATGAACTCTGTTCAACCAGTTTCTCCCCCATCAGTATCTATAATTCTTGAGAGATAAGATTCACAGCAACCTTCAAGACGGCTTCATTCTGTAAGGAAATTATTTAAAATATTCTCATGGCAACTAATTTAAATAAAAGAAGACAAACCTAGAGGCAATAATTGATAAATATGTGCACACAATTATGGCTGAAATGGTATAGGGATATAGAGTAGGAATAATTGCATTTTTGCTATTGCAAGGCAAGGAGTGCTTATGAATTTCAAACTTTATTCAAGTTATGGTTTGATATTTTCCCAAAAACTCAATTCAAATAGGCAATTCAGTCACATACTCACATATAGATGGTGACAAGGCACTTAGAAAGAGGGGAGGTTCAGAAAGCACAATGAGCTGGAAGATCATAGTATATCAATTGAGGGGACACAAACAGACGTGCGGAAGTGGCATTTTCTGAAAAATTGATGATGCTTCTGGTGAAGACAAGACATTCATATGTCCAAACAGCTTTCATATCTGTAACATTGAATATTTGAATAGCTTCAATCCTACATTCTCAAGTTTTCTTTTTTATTAAGTAAAAATGAAGGCAGGATTTCTAGCTGAATTTTCTGCTAAAAATTGAAGAACTAATAAATTGGGTAATATTTAGTTTCCAATGAATCCACACCTGCAACTGCAAACTAAGCAAGCAGTGCCTTGAATGCAGGAATTGTTCTTGCCAGTTAGTTTTGAGCAAAATTTAATCTCCCATCACTCTTCAGTTACTTGCATTCATCTTCAAGACTTCAACAGGATAAAAATCAAATCTTAGGATAATCCTACATAGCACTCAAGTATCATGAATTATATCCTTAATTCAAGCTAAACAATATAAGAACAATCAAAATGAACACATACTCAACTACAAACATGCAAAACTCAAGCCTCATAAACAACAATAGATGTGGAAGCTGATAGGATTGTAGATTATATTAGGAGTTAGAAGAACACAAGAGAGAAATAAAGGAATTCCGTAGCACAACCGTGGACTTGCTAAACCATGAAAAATACCAGTCCGTAACTAAATATAGAAAAATAACAGTGTGGCATAATATGGATGACAGACAGACAGACAGTAGAGATTATAGAAATACTCTATTAATTACAAGCTAAATAGCTAAATGCAGTTATTGAAATGAAGAGAATGCATGTTGGCAGCTTGGCCAGGCCGGCGGTTACAAATAGCGATGAGAGGGAGGAGGATACCTCATACCTCCCAAACACGACGGAGATGCTTTGGGAGTGGTAGCGAGATTTTTATTCTCTTCCAAACAAGGCCGCCGGAGTTAGTATTCGCGGCGACGCCATTCCCTATCCCGGCCTCCTTCACGCCCTGTCATCGTGTCAACTGTCAAAGCTCCCTCCTCCTCCTCCTCCATTAATGGGCTGGGCTTGAATGTTCAAACGCCACACAAAGCCCTAGTTTAATTTTCTGCATGAATTATTTCGATCCAGATACATCTCGCCGCCAAATAGGCCCATGTATAAATTTCAAAAAAAAAATAATAATAATAAAAAATGAAAACGTTGGTGCCCCAATCCCGATTGAGAAGCCAATTTGTTGGAGTCGTCGTCGTCATGGATTACGAGATCTCTGCGCCGTCTAATCAGACTGATAACCAGCTAACTAGTACGGCCACTCACCGCCTTACACCGCAATCCGTACAGCTTAAAAAATTGGGCAATAATAGAAATTTTAATTCACCTCTGCTCGATCTGATGTCTGTCCCATCCCCTGCAACTATAATATTATTAACACCGTACCCCGATGCATAATCCTTATCGCTTAACATTCCCTTCAGGCTTAAGTAATTGCTTATGCGCCGTAAGTTTTTTCTATCTTCTTATCATCTCATCGCATGCATGCTATATATACACATACACTGTAGGTAGCAGAGACGATGCATATATCCAGAACTAGTACAGTGATGGAATGAAATTATACGGGAATTTAAGGGGAGCGTTTTAGGCGCGCATAGCGTGGCTCCATCGGATCGACATTAATGCAGCAATTCATGTTTGAATGTTTGATATGATGGTGCCACGCTGCGTGCGTCTGAAACACACACTCTCCATTTCTCCATGCATCCGCCCATCTTTTGCTCCATCTCGATCTCTTCCAATTCTTCAATTCGGATTTGCAGATTCAAGAGGAAGGTAGATGATCCAGGTGTACGTACTCTAATCTCATCTGCTTGGTTAGTTTAATATATACATCGATCATATCGTGATCATTGATGTAATTAAAATTTGTTGTTTCATGCATGCATGTGTTTTAGACATATTTGCATCTATCTTATGTTTCTTCTTGTAATTTGGGTACGTAGGGTAGACAGATCGGTTGGATCCAGTAGCATGGAGCATCTCACGGGGTGATGTAGAGATTCGATCAAACCATGACCTTTGGTCTGACTCTGATATCAAATTGAAACATGTGTTCCATCTCAACTAAAAATGCCTAAGCTGATAGTTGAATTACAGATTAATAGTTATATGCTCAACAAATACCACTCACACCATGGGATAACTCACCCATTATAGTTAGTCTAAGTCACACATGCACTATTATCCAACATATTATGTTTAAGGGCAAAAGGTCCCAACTTCTTCTAAATGACCTGTCTATTTTGCTTTAAACTACTTCCAATCAAATGGGATCAGTCGTTTGATTCGTAAGAAAATAATATTTTTCTTTACCACGTTTAAAAATGGTGTCAAAAATCTTGTGGTCCAATGACACCAAGTTACTCCCTTAAGTGGGAGGTTGTAGCCAGGATTGAACCTTAGTAGAGACAATATTAGTCCTTTGTGCTTTTAAAAAATACACACTAAGATTTATATGTATTAACATTTAGACCTTTTTTTCAAGTTGTTATGTTTGGATATTTGAAATTTTAGGTAAGGATTTAATGATTTATTAAGATTAATATTCGAACAATTTGAATCTTTTAAGTATTGTTTTACTATTTTTAAGTATTTTCTGTCAGTTGTATTTGAGATAATTATATTTGATGTTAGGTTAATTGAATTTTTAAATATATAAATTTATAAATTAATTGTATAATTTAAATAGCATATTATTTTATAAGGTCCTACAGAATTGAAGTTTGTATTCAGGAAAGTGGAGTGGAGAATTCTCGTCCCCGAGAAATTAACGCGGACTGGGATGGGTCATATTTTCGTCTCGTCTAGCTTTGTTGTCATTCTTAATATCACTTATAGTCAATTTATACTGTACTGGTTTATTTCATTGTAGTCATTTGACAACTAAGGTCACATTAAGAATTTTACTCAAAATGCACTATTTAGGTGGCGGTTGTGAATTTTTCAATAAATACAAATAAAAATAAATAAATAAAATATCTCAATTATACAGAATTTAGCATCTACCCAAATAACAAGATTATTGCTAGATGAGTAGAATTGTTATTTAATAATTTTATTAATTATATGGACTCTTAATATTTACTTCTTCACTTTTACTCTCTTATGTGATAAATAATGATAAGTTAATTTATTGTAGTTTATAATATGATCAAACTATATATATAAATGTTATTTAATCACATGAGATTCATACATGTATGTAGCAGCGCAGCAGGAAAATAACAGAACTATATTCCATATGTTATAGAGTTAGTTAAAATTCCAAGGTCAATAGTATAATTAATTATATTAGTCAATGGATGGCACGACTAGCGGGCAAATAAAGTTTATAATTAGAATCAATTGGTCAACCCCCTTGATTCACGTCATTGGATTCAATGCCACCAAAAATCATTGTATATTACAATCTTATATTAGATTATATTTTTTGAAAGGTTATATTATATTATATATCTCACCTTCTTTATTATTTCCAGCCGTCAATCGGTCAATTTACATTAATATTAAACTTTGGGATTTTTTATACTTTTTAATCTATACTCAATTCTTCTTCCTTTTAAGTCATGAAATTACATAAATCAGGACTATGTAACTCTCAAATTTCACAGTAAAAAGATGGTGAATTTCATACAGAGATTTAGAGAACTTGTGTAATTTGATTTTTAATTTTTTTTTACTAAACGAAGCCATCTAAATAATGAAATAATTAACTTTACAATGGATAAATACTCTCCCCGTAACACATTCGGGATAGTTCCACAATAAACGCTTCTATTACAAATTATAATTAACAATATTAATTTTTCTTTTTTACCTAAAGTCGTGTTGGGAAAAATTCCTCCGCCTGTGACAAATAAAATCAAAATCACAGAATAGCCCAAATAAATAACAGAGGGACACAAGATTTAAGTGGAAAATCCCAAAATCATGGGGAAAAATCACGGACCACCACTAACACAATATTCCACTATAACAAATCTTGGGTACAAAGTTGCTGGCTACCACCCGAGCCAAACACCCTAAAAATCATCAAATACAACAACTCTTAGGTCAAATACAATATATCACGTTCACAGACCTACAAAGGGATACCAATTCGTACTCAAAATATTCAGCCACCACGAGCAAGGTGAATAGAATACAAATATTACGAGATTACCCAAAACGATGATGTCTGGAACAAACACTGACCTCTACAAATATTTGATGAAGAAAAGTACCCCAAAGATCGTCGGCAACCCTCATGACAAATCCATCAAACGTGCGACAAAACCTGCTGACACATGTTGCTGACTTGCCGCCGTGCCACCGAAGAAGCTAGGCAAACCCACGACAAAGTAGCATAAAAAGAAGAAGAAATAAATGTTGCTCCTTCAACTGCTGCATACGGCCGTGAAAAGAGAAAGAAAGAAAACTGAATTTTTTCTTTCTTTTTGGCCTACTGCTTCTGCCGAAAAATATAAATGGAATATGTGTAGTATGTAGAAGTGTCTGGTGTAGTGGTGAGAAAACAATGAATATTCCCTCCTTTTATAGATGCAGGCAACCACCTTGGGAAATGAAGAAAGCTAATTAATTTCTCAAACTTTCGCCCATAAACCTTAGGAAACCTCTTCCCATAATCCTTAGGAAATTTCCTTCCATAAACCTTAGGAAACCTCTTCCCAAGTTCCCTTAGAGCATCCATATTTGTGGATAATAGAGAGATATTTCAGAATGAATTCTCCCCACCCAAGATAATAACTAATGTGGGGAAGAGATAATGTGATAAATAATTGGTCTGCAAATAAAGAGATAATGCAGAAATGGTGGGACCCACCACAAAGCCACCACTGGTGACAGCCACGCGTGGCTGTCACCAGTGCGCATGACAGTCTGAATTTTTTTTTTTTTAAATTTAATTTTCCTTTTTTTTTCTTTTTTTTTTTTCTCTCCCCTCCCATCTTCTCTTTCCTAATCACTCTTACATTATCCCCCTATTCTCCCCAACAAATGTGGATGCTCTTAGGAAATCTCTTCCCAAGTTCATCCCAAGCAAACTTCTGCCCAACAACTTCATCCCAACATCCACTCTTTAACTTCTACCTAATAACCCATTCTCCAACCCAAATAATTGTCAGCAAACTTTTCCATCAAGCTAACAAATATTATAGTGGAATAGGTTTGGTTCAAAATAAGCTATTTACCACATAGGAGGGAAGCTCAATCCCAACAAGTCGATGTATATTGTAAAGTATATAAATTTGTATCTCAGTGTATTTGTCTAATTAATGAATGAAAATTTTCATTTAAGACTTACTTTCAACAATATAGTGGGGTTTAATCTTTATCACATACATTGATGATTTTGATTTGGAATGTGATCATTGTGCACAAGAGTACACAGTTCGATATGAAGTTTTGAATCTTGAAGCGGGTTCATGAAATTTCAAATATAAAGTCGAAAATTTAGAATAAGGTTCAAATTGGCCACTGAACCTAACCTGAAATGTAATTAGGTCACTAAACAAAAAAAAGGTACAATTAATTAAGTCATAAATACTCTAAATGTATGCAATTTTATCTGATAGCAGGTTACCATCCATTTTATCAGGTTATATGCTTACGTGAATTTGATAAGTTGACATTTTTAACAATTTTTAATAATGAATTAAAAAAGAAAAAAACATTGAGGTGGCAGCCGGCCGCCCCCCTTCCCCCCTCCTTCATCTCCGGTGGAGACGAAGGAAGGGGGAAAGGGGGTGGCGTGAGACCCCTCTTTTCCCTTCCTTCGTTTCCGGCAGAGACGAAGGACTTGTCTTTGTCTCTGGTCGAAGACGAAGATAGGCTCTTTGTCGCCGGTTGGAGACGAAGGAGGAGGGGGCAGGGAAGGTGTGGCCGGTGACCACCACGACGTTCTCTATCTCTTTTTTTTTTTTTTTTTTTTTTTTAATTCTTTTATTTTAAATTATTATTAAAATTATTAAAAATAACAACTCATCATCCACCTAAGCAAGTAACTGATGAAATGAATGGTAACCTGCTATTGTATACATTTGAGACGTTCAGTGACTTTATTGCATTTTTTTTCATTCAATGACATAACTGTATTTTCAGGTTATTACGTAACAAATTTGGAGCTTATTCCATAAAATTTTGAATAAATAATCAGTGAATAATGACAGGGAAATTATTAAAGTATTTATAGCGAAATTATTATGTCGTGAGCACATTCGAGAATGTTACACGTAAAAGAAAATAACAGTAATTATTATTACAGTAATCACATAAAAAAATTTCAGTCAAAAACACTGTTCTCTGTCGAAGAGAGTTTATTATTACTAATTTTTGTTATTGTCATTTTCTAAACTTCTTTGACGTGAACGTACAGAAAGAAAAAACGAGAGAGAGTCTCCAATGGTGGCATGGACCAGTTAGAAACGAAGCATCCCTCAAATTCACACAATCTCTTTTCTTTCGCATTAGGTTTCAATTCGAAAAAGCTTCTGAAATCTTTCAACACGTCTTGCATTTTCCCCCCTTTTCTCTCTCTATATATAAATATATATATACACGCAACTCTGTTTTGGTGCGTGGTTATACGTCTGCAAGATGAAGACGTCTCTAAGGAAACTGCGAGGATTTGCCGCGCTTCGACATGATAGAAGAGAACGGAAGCTCCGATCCTGCACTAAGGAAGATGAGTTGGCTCAGGCTAATCAGGTTTTTGTTTTCCTTCTTTCTTTTTGGTTTTGTTTTATTTCTGCCAAATGTGTAGATGAATCGTTGGTTGGATGATTTGAAACTGATTTGTTTTTCCTTGTAATTGGGGCTAATTTTTGTGTTTTTCCTCTAATGATTGTGTTTTGTTCATGCTCATTCATAATTATTGTGTCTTCTTTAAATAGTACTCTGTATAAGTGGGATTTGCTGTAATCATTGTTCTGATAATCAGTAAAGTTCAATTGATTGACGCTAGTGGAACTATGATGTGCCTCTTGAGAGTTAATTATCAGCTAGAAAATGATGGCACTTTCAGCGTTTGCTTTTGTGTCCTCAGTTCTTCATGTTTCCAGTAAACTTGTGGTCCTTGTGGATATGCCTTTTAATTTTAAAGTTCACTAGCCTTTTGATCTATTGTTTGGACTTAGTGTCTAATTTAATTTAATGTTATATCAATCAGTGCAACTTTACTTGTTCTATCTGATTGTAGTGCAGTACACCATTAGTGTAATTGTCTTAGAGAGATGCCTTCTCTTATCTTCAGGATATGCAAGACACGAGAGACTGCTATGAAAAATTGCTTTCTGCGGCTGCAGCGACAGCAAACAGTGCATATGGTAAATTTCAATCGTTCGATTATCTTGTTCAATTCGAGCGTGTTATATCTCAATGAGAGAGTAGGAAGATTGGTTACAAGGCACATATTAGCTTTTTACAATCCCCCCTTCCTTTTGTATGATATTTAATCTAGTTTTTGTTTGTCAGCTAGTAAAGAAAGCTTAGATTTTGGTCAACTTAATGTTTGTTATGAATTGCACCAGGACCTGAAATATATTTCTTACCATACTCTTTGTTCTCTCATCATGACATTTACTTCTTCTGTTGCAGTTTTGTAGAAATTTACTTCATAAATCTGTGTATTTTCAGAATTTTCAGAGTCACTGGGGGAAATGGGCGACTGTCTTCTTGAAAAGACAGCATTGGTTGATGACCAAGATAGTGGTAAGAAGTCTTTTCATGAGATTATTGGGGAAAAATTAAAAGTATTTTATTTTATGCTTGGCAGGAGGTAGTAGTCATCAACTTTAAGAATTGATACAATGAATGCATTATTTTCCAGTTTAGGCTATGTTTCTAGAGTGGATTATTTTTGTGTCATGCAATATGCATTTCAAACTCTTTGTCCAAAAGATGCACGCCTGTCATATTACTTTTGCATTCTAATTTCATTTTCCTGAAAAGTTGAGCTATTTCTGTTATGATACAGGTAAAGTGTTACTCATGCTGGGCAAGGTTCAATTTCAACTCCAGAAACTTTTAGATACTTATGTGAGCATTCAAACTTGTGTGAAATAGTATAGATTTCTTTACCTCTAATTTTCCCCACCAGTGATTTCTGTATTCTGTTTTCAGCGGTCCCATATTTCTCAAACAATCACAGCACCATCAGAGTCCCTCCTCCATGAACTAAACATAGTTGAGGTCTGTTTCCATTCTCAATCTGGTTTTTCTTGTATTTCCATGATCTGGAAACTTCAGAAATTGGTTCTTTTTCATTGTGCAGGACATGAAGAAGCAATGTGATGCAAAAAGGTCCAAACTATTTCAGTTTTAACCTTACCTATAATATCCTGTATGTAAATGCTGTCTTACTTTGGTTTATGGATCTTTAGAGAAGCATTCGATCTCTTGATGCAAAAATATAGAGAGAAAGGAAAACTAAGGGGAACAAAAGGAGAGGGTTTTTCTTCTCACAAGCTGCAAGCAGCTTACGATGAGTATGATAATGGAGCAAATGTTTTTGTACTTCGAATGAAGTCTCTCAGGCAAGGGCAATCCCTCAGTCTTCTAACACAGGCTTCTCGACATCATGCTGCTCAGGTTCCTCCTGTTACATATTAACTAATACTATCACTTTTTATTAGATCTTTCAAGAATAAATATTGGATGGTTATTCATGTCGTCTCTCATATTCCTTGAAAAACAGTTGTCTTTCTTTAGGAAGGCAGTCAAATCTCTAGAGGAGATAGAGCCACATGTCAAATTGGTAACTGAACTGCAGCATATTGATTACCCGTTTAGCGGACTTGGGGATGACAGCTGGGATGATATTGCAGATGATAATGACGGATATGATACTTATGAATCTAAAGATGAATCTGGATCAGATGATGATGGTGAGCTGAGTTTTGATTATGGACAGAGTGACCAGGAACATGTGTCAACCAAATCAATGGAGGTGAGACTTGTACTTATTTTGGTTCTGTTATAGAATAACACTCAATTATTATTAAAGAACAGGCATTTATCAATTGCTGTTTCTACAGCTTAAATTATATAGATGAACATTTCAATTAAGGAATGGTCCAACTCTAGTAATTTTAACATCATGGGTTTCTGGTGAATGGCTTTGGTTGCATGGGTTTGCAACTTTGCATATAGTTAAAGAATGACAAGTCTGGTGGGATCTTCTGACATAATGAAATAAAGCATGGATATGAATCCTTGTACAACCTCTGACCAATTACTTTTCCTTCATGGTTGCAAAATATTTGTGCAGTTGGATGGCAGTGATATTACATTTCCTCAAGTTGCTAAAGCAGATTCAGCAAAGGTAAAGAACCTTCTTGCTTCTCTTTTTGCTTTTCCACTTTTCAGCATCAGCTGTTTTCTTTCTTCTTTATGCGCAGGCAGATAATTTGTTGGGTTAATATAATCTCTAGCAGCAGAATTCAGTTCATAAATTAATTTTTCTCCAAATATGACAAGCACATTATTCCTTGCTATCTGAACTACACTATTATGTTTATGCTTTGGATTTATGGTCATGTTTTTTATGCGTGAATATGTGCAGGAAAATCCAAGAAGAAGTATTGGCGGGATCTCTTTTGCTTTCCGCAGAGAGAATCAAGCAAGCAGCAAATCTGCACCACTCTTGGCTGAATTGAAATTCGATCACACTGATCGTGCTATGCAAATGGGTTCCTCACCCTCATACAAGATTCACTCCTATGTGTTACCCACACCAGTTGAGAAAGACAGTAGAGTTTCATTCAAACTAGACACTGAAGTTCCTCAAACAAGACGAACCAGCTTTAGTAAATCTACAGAAAATTTGTGGCATTCATCTCCTTTGGATAGAAACAAGTATGAAAAGCTCGGGGCTACTGATAAGGTATCTGAACATACGATCTTTAATTCTCAATCTGTGCTGAAAGAGAGCAACAACAATTCAAAGTCGAGTCGGTTAGTGTCAGAAGGCCATTCATTACCTCGACTTGATCCATTTTCTGCCTCCGATGCTAAAAAGCTCAAAAGACAAGCCTATTCTGGACCCTTGACTGAAAAAACATGGCCAAACAATCCATCCTTTTCTACTAGTGGTCCAATGCTCTCTACAGGGTACACTCAGCAGCGATTTTCTGGATCTCTCTTGCGCACTCCTCTACCCCAGCCTTCATCAACTCCAAAGTTTGCTTCACTTTCTTCTTCTCCTCCATTCATGTCATCCTCACCTAAAATTAGTGAGCTGCACGAGTTACCAAGACCGCCACCCAATTTATCTTCCCCAACACCACCCTCAAATCTTGTTGCTCATTCAGGGCCGTTGGCTTCTAAGGGTCCAGGGCTTTCTCCTACATACAGGACAGCATCTACACTCCCCGTGCCTCCTACAGCTTTCCCTCGTAGTTATTCAATACCCATCAGAGGCGAAACTGAAACAGCATTGCGGGCATCTAAGCCTGTAATAGATGTTCCTTCATCTCCTTCGGTTTCACTGCCCTTGTCAAACATACAACAACCTACACCTCCTGCTTCCTGAGCCTTTATATCAAGTGAAAGGTACCCAAGACAACCCTCATGGGCTTTAAATAAGTTCTTCATCATTTGCTTTTCTGTTCTAAGTTTATTTCTGTAACTGGGTGTACTTCTGGTCAGTGGAAGGCTCATGCAGAGAGATTTTGTAATGCAGCCCAAAGTGGGGTATATAGCATAGGACTTAGGGGCATAGTTCTTCTTTCTTGGGGTTCAGTTTCAGGCTCATAGCTATATACATACATACTGTACAAAGTGTGCCACCAGGAAAGAGAACAAGCCTATTTTGTCTTGTTTCAATTAGTTTGATTTTTTCTAAAACCATGTAGTACTTAAACTTTTTTTTGAATAAATGTAGTACTTAACTTAATCATCCAAAATAGTTATATTTTTGTGGCTTGTCCACCATTTACTCCCCATCTTAGCTCCAAGAATCTCAGGATGAGATTGCATACTAAAAACTCTGCTAAGGTTATGATATTCAGGTGACCTAATGACCCAAATATCATCAACCCTTGTGTTATTATTCAGGCTAAGGTTTAAGCCTTCTTCCACAACTTGTCACATGGAGAAACAATCCAAATTATTATTCTCTATATATAAATAGTAATAGCATTTTACATTTACATGTAAGAACTTGAACACAACAAGCACTTTATGTATCACTCACTGAGCAAATAACGCACTTCAATATAACTCGGGATTGATTCTGTACCATATTTAACAAAAACTTATGTAAAGAACACAGCTGGAGAGTATATCAGTTCATCAACCAGAAAAGAATACTTGATACTACTATGTATGGAGTGGCAATTCAATACAATGGAATACGGGCAGCAATTGCTTATCGATCAGGCAGGTAGTGCAAAACTTAGTTCTTTCCACTGCGGAGGGTCCACCACTATACAAGGATCAGACTTCTCAAAGTCGGCAACCTGCACAAAACAATGAAGTGTTAACTGCAAGTTCCTCTGGAACATGGGAATCATATAGTTAAGAAAAGCTTCTCACTTTCTCATTGCAGCTTGGACAGTAGTGATATTTATGCCAAAGGCAATCCATTGAGGGGCAGAGAAAGCAAACCCCAAGCATCATTGGCATCATACACCCAACACAAGCTGCCAAACTTGGTTTCGACCTGCAGCCAATACATAATCGCAACATATTACAAATTGGAAAAGAACCAAAGGCAGGCAGGGGTGTCCAATTACACAAAATAGCCCCTTTAAATCACCATATGTAGATCTACTACATCTTTCCCTTTGAGACTCCTAATTTTTAGCTAGGGTTTGAGGAGGGAGCCTATATAAACTCTTTAATCCCTTAGAAGAGCTTGAGGAATGCAATGTATCTGCAGCTTCTATGCCTACATTTGACAGATTTCTTCTCTTGTTTGATTCATTCATGTGGCCATATTTTAAATCAAAAAATGATGTAAACTTGGCTTATCTTTGTTTTACAATCTTCCCTGCCATAATCTCTCTTGATATTTGGTGCCTTGTAAGTACAAGATCCAGTTAACCTCTGAATACGAAGAGTGATCTCACTTTAAGATACAATTAAGGATTCAAGACCAGCAACAGCTAACCACTCATAATTGAAATCTTGCCATTGCTTATTGGATCCAAAATTCAGTCTTAGAAGTAAGAAATGATCAGAAAAGCAAAGAGTTCATCAAGCCAACATCTTTTTACATATCAGATTAATTTGCACAAGACTCAAACCTTAGAAAATCACATAAACTGTACAGCGTAAATATGTATAAACAAGAAATTAAAGCTCAACTTGGGAAAACAAATCAGGGAAATTAAACAGACATCATCATCATCAAGGAGAGAGGGGAAGGGAATTACTTGACAAGGGTAAGTCCAGAATTGCCACAGTGGATGCAGTTGAAGGGTGCCGGAGTGTCGCGGTACATAGTCTGCTGAATCGGAATTCCTTTGGGGTCTCCGACGATGGCGTTCGGAGGGATGACGCCAGCTTGGTAAGGGTTTTCTTGAACAAAGTACTGCGGATGCTGCGGTGGCGGCGCCGGCGCCGGCGCCGGCGCCTGATAGGCCGGATTATAGGGGATTCCGATAGCTGGTTCCTCGGTCTTCGACATTGCATACGATTCAATTCTCAGGAAGATCTCTCTCGCTGGCGCGTACTATAAAACCAAATGCGTTGCCGCGTAGGCGTAGGAAGCTTCCTTCCTTCCGTCAAAATTTCCACCTCCTAGAAAACTGTTTTTTTTTTTTTTTTTTTTTTTTAAAGTCCTTCTAGAAAACTATTGACGATTGACGTTTGACTGTGATTTGTGTTTTGTTTAAACCTTGTTTGGGTAGGACATGGCCCATGGGATTTCAAAGAGTAGTTTTTTGCACTTTTGATTCCACGACTATAGTGTCATAAATAAATTTGATTGAGGGGCGTCCTTCTCTTGAGCGAGCTCATGAGGTAGTCTTTCTCCTATTGGGCGAGCTCATGAGATATCCTCCTTGATGCGTCTTCCTCTTGGACGAGTTCATGAGGTATTCCCCTTGATGCGTTCTCCTCTTGGACGAGCTCATGAGGTAGCCGTCCTCCTCTTGGGAGAGCTCATGAGGTAGTCCTCCTCCTCTTGGGCGAGCTCATGAGGTGTCCCCCTTGATGCGTCCTCCTCTTGGGCGAGCTCATGAGGTAGTCCTCCTCCTCTTGGACGAGCTCATAAGGTGTCCCCCTTGATGCGTCCTCCTCTTGGGCGAGCTCATGAGGTAGCTCCCTTGATGCGTCCTCCTCTAGGGCGAGCTCATGAGGTAGTCTTCTTCCTCTTGGGCGAGCTCATGCGGTTACCCCTTGATGCGTCCTCCTCTTGGGCGAGCTCATGAAGTAGCCCCCTTAATGCGTCCTCCTCTTGGGCGAGCTCATGAGGTAGCCGTCCTCCTCTTGGGGGAGCTCATGAGGAAGTGTCCTTGATGCGTCCTCCTCTTGGGCGAGCTCATGAGGTAGCCTCCTTGATGCGTCCTCCTCTTGGGCGAGCTCATGAGGTAGCCTCCTTGATGCATTCTCCCCTTGGGCGAGCTCATGAGGTAGCTGTCCTCTTGGGCGAGCTCATGGGGTAGCTCCGTTGATGTGTCTTCCTCTTGGGCGAGCTCATGAAGGAAGACATATGTTGGTGACCTCATCTTGACCGCCTTGGCTGCCGCCTCGTCTGCTAGTAGGGTAGCCCTTTTCTTGTACTCTACCAGGTGGTCTAACCAGCACGGGGGAGGGTTTGTATGGGGAGGACTGGGTAGGCCTCCAAGCTGGACCTCTGGAGGTCTTTAATCCGTGCTATCTTGGAGATATGCTTCGGGGCGCCGAGGCCGAGCTTGGAGAGCAAATCCGCGTCCCCGTTTTGACTTCTAGGTACCTCGGTCAAGTCGGCTATGTGGAGGTCGGCCTCAGTGCTTTTCACGATCATGTCGTTGACGTAAGCTTGTAGGTTCCGGCCGAGGACCTTCTTGAACACTTTGGCGACCATTCTGGTGTACATGGCTCCCCACGATCGTGGCGAGTTGACTCCTCTGTCCGCCGGTGCCTTAGGTGCACGGGGCACATGGGTGCTTGGGCCACCGCGTCCCCGCGGAGATGGCGGGGGCGAGGGGGCCTCGGAAGGCGGGAATCATGGCTTCGGGACCTTTGTGAGAGTGACGACTCCGCGGGTTGCACGGTCGGCCTCGGGCCGATGCGGTGTCGCGCCGGCACCCTCGGACCCAGCCGTCCTAGCACGGTCGCGGCCCGAGTCGGCCGCGGTCGTCCCTCCTCTCGTTACTCGCGCCGACCTTTGTTGGTCTCCGTGTCGCCTCTCCTATCAGACGGTCGCGGTGAGTTGACCTCACAGTCCGCCGGTGCCTCAGGTGCTCGGGGCCCCTGAGTGTTTGGATCGTCGTGTCCCCGCGGAGGCGGGGGAGGCGAAGGTGCCGAGGCACCCCGTCGTAAGCCCTCCGCGACGCGGTTCATCGCGGTCACCACCTGTTCGAGTGCAGCCGCCTCGTCTTGTGGGTTTGGGATCGGGGGCGCAATGGGCGGCGCTGATTCGCCGTGGGGGCGGCTGCCGTTGAGCAGATCCCGGAGGTCCTCCGCCACCCCTTGCCGGTTCCCGTTGATCTGATCTCTGAGGTCCCCTATTGTCCCCACGGGAACGGTCTGTCGACTTGCCGTCGCCATCCCGTTAGGATGGTTAGCGAGGGGGAGGGGTCACGTGTGTGGCGTGAATCATGTGAATTGCGGTGTTCGACCCCGATCTTGCCATCGCCGTGGTGGAATATTAGAATAGTAGGGAGAGCTCTTAAGCTTGTACAACCGCTCTCAACAAGAGCACCAATGATGGATTATATGAACCCGGGGGTCTGGATTATACAACCCGAATATATGATTGAATATAAAGAACGAACGATAAAATGACAATAGGGGTAGAAATATTATATTAATTGAATGTATAACGCTATTATAGAGGTTCGGGACGTGTAATAACAATACAATTGTAGTCAGAAGGTAGAAGATGTTGGAAAAATAGCTTAAAATGACATTTTAAGTGGCTATTTTGTGGTACAATTATTAGTGGGGTCCACTTCTGATTTGGGTCGGGTCAAAGTGGATTCGGGTTCTTCGTAGTGAGACGAAGAGATTGATTGTGACACCTCAAAAATCCACATTCAATCCATGGATTAATTGAATAATTAATCCTATTTTATTTGAAGAATTAATTCCTAAAATCCTGATTTTTAATACTCAAGGACTAGCATTTGACTAGTCAACCTTAAAGTTGTGTTGTACCTTGAGCTTTGAGGGGAGTTCCCTTGTTCCTTACACTTTCTAAGGGTTAGTAAGGGTATTCTTGACTTTTCACCAAGAGTTAGTATTGTAACCTAACCTAGAAGACTTCTTCATTTCATTCCTTACAATTCTTAGAAATTAGCTCTACCTTCTCTCTAGAAAAGAAGTATAGCTTATTCTCCAAGCCAAGTTGAGACCCTTGTCAAGATTCAAAGATTTGCTACCAAGATTCAACCTTTCACCTATTTGGGCATCTAGGAGGGTAAGATCTAAGTTCATCTTGTGTTTTTGGTTCCATCTTAGTTGTCTTTTTCTTAAAGGTAGGATCTTTATGATCTTTTGGTTTAATCTTGAAGTGGGTTCGGAAAGTAAGCCTTGTGGGGAACTTGTTGTGGTGTAAAGTGAAGTCTTTTGGTCTACAAGAGGTAACCCATGCTCTACAAAACATATTTTGCTTACCTATATGTGATTTCTTGGATTCTACTTGTGTTTTGCTATGAAATGTGAGTGTTTATGCA